CCTATACTCCTAGATATATTTGACCCAATCTAAAATTCGTGCTGTCAGAAAAAGTCTCGCTTCAAAGCAAGCATGTTAGTATTATATGACGCTAATATTTTGTGGCAGAAGCTTGATTACGCAAAAGTTTGTTTGTTTGACACACAAAATAAGTGCGTTTATGAGTCAAAATATCCTTTAAAGGAACTGCTGCAGTATCGACTTCGAAGCTTAGGAACTTGTGGGACCACGACGAAGATCATCTAAAGAGGGCGTGCTTGCCCTGTTTTTCACAGATCCTTGAAAACTACTGTGAAGAACCGTAACGGTGTAGTTGAATAACAACGCCTTGGAACGACTTGCGATTTTGTTTCTTTCAAACCGTTGCAGTCCCGGCTTAAGCATTTCGACTATTACAATAATCGGAACTTATTTGAATTACTCTAAAAAACCCTGTCTAAAGAACACCTTCCTTGAACGTTCTGTGAGCTAAGTTTTTGACGAACAAAATAGCTCTTTCTCGTACTGCATAGATGACAAGTTTGTCGTCACTTTTGCGCTAGAAATTTACCATTCACTCGTAGTATTTATGCATGTTATTCTTTTTGGAGACGGCATTGTGTTGTTTAAATCTCGCACCAAACCTAAGCACACGCACAATCTGCCTGGCAGAGAATTGTGGTTTAGGGTCATTCTAGGGTCTGTATAACCGTTACGTAACTGGTTAGCTTTGCTAAGATTTTACGCGAACTGCAAAAAGACATAATTATAACTCGACACCACAACAACATCACAGAAACAACTGGCAAAAGAGAATGGAACATTATTACTCGTCAACAACGATTACGACGTAATTCTGCGCTAGTTCTTTGGTTTCACTTAGATTTATCTTACTTTTAATGGGATAAGAAAGGATACCACTTTTCCAAACGTTGCACTAAACTGATATTGCGGCATAAGCACATTTACATTGAAAGAAAATTTAGGCTAACAACAAAATGCTGTTTTTAGCACGCTATCCTATTTATTATGTTGTCCTTACACGGACAACCTGGAGCCATATCGATTAGCCTTACCGTTTGAAATAAAGCGGAATTTAAAATTAGATATTTAGATAAGGATAGTAATAACTAAAAGCTTGCAATCTGCTAAAAGTCCTTATTGCTTCCACGACATTGCTTCTATATATTCAACTTAACTAAAATTAACTAGTTAATAAACGCTCAAAAATAGGCATATATTGCATCCGTCTCCGACTTCTTATTTCGTTAGCAAAGGTAAAAAAACTACATACTTATACAGATGCAGGCAGACAAAATCGTGGATCCGTTCTATAATTAACAGTAAGGACATGTCGCGAATAGTTTTTTTCTACCTAAATCCCGTGAACAGCAGAAAAAGACATTTGAACGCTGTGCTCACTAGCTGATAGGGAGCGAGCTTTGTATACATATGTTGAATCAATTTTATTTGGTAGTCTGCAGGACTGTTTGGTATATGCGTAAGCGATTAGAATCACGCGGCAGCGCTTCTGTTCCAGACCCACTTGTTAACTCAGTGCATAGGGTAACCTAGCCTAACCTATCGTCTAGGCCAGCGCGAGCGAGGTTGGCTAACTTCGTTCGATTGGCTGACGCATGGCCGGCCGATATCGATACAGAAAAGGCTACAGCCAACAAGTAAGTGGTGCCTTCTAGATCGGTCCGGTAATTTTTCCTATTGTTTTAGATCAAGCAATGTTGTATAGATGTGGCGATTGCACCAGTAGTAACGGCATTTATTGTACTAACGGTATTCTGCGACGTTGTTGGCAGGTCATAGTCAGTCGAGAGTTAACGTAAACGATAGGCACTGTCAAGGCGTGAGTACTTGGGGAGTGCCTGGATTTGAGTGTGATCCATTCTCATTGCACGTGTTATGACAACGGACATATACGTCAAGCGGTAGTATAATAACGAACGAAAAGAAGGACTGTCTTGCTCAAAAATCAACCATATTTTCAAGGTATGATATTCTTTATCATAAACAGGTTATATGTCATCTTATTGCTTTCACTATTAATCGTCATTTTATTTGTCCCTGATACTGCTTGCCCCTGCACTATTAACCGCAGATGAAGTCATTTCTGTTGTTGTTCCTAAAATATTTGTACTAAACTATGTGTTCTTCGCTCATTCGGATGAGAACCATTGGGCTGCCTCTATGAAAGCTAGCGGACATGCTCTCCTTATCTATTCCGTCACCGTATTTCAGCGAAATTAGCTGTTAGCCATTGCATTTTAGTTTTATTTGGTTGTACCGCTTTTTGATGCTTCATAACTTTCTGTCAAGTGACAAATTGTTTATTCGTTTTGACAAACTGTGGCAATGCTTTGAACAAAAATGATCATTACGGACGGAAAGCTTCGTTATAAATATCTCTACACAATGAAACAACGAGTAATCTAGTAGCGTTAAGAAATGAGATTCCATAACGTAATGCACAGCTTTAATTTACCGTTTGAAACGAAGTAAGCATTAGTTGACAGTTGCTACTTTTTCGAAGACAGAAGACTTAATCTTACTTCGAAGAAGGATTGAAGAACAAAAACACAGCAGCAACAGCGATAGGAACAACAACAGCTTGATTCGAATGAGAGCCAAAGGTAGAATTAAGAAAAAAAAAACACGCACAGGAACAACAGGGAGCGATTGTTACATGGAAGCGCTTCTACCTATTTCTGAAAATTGATAAGCCATTTCTGACCTATCAGTATGACCGTCAAATAGAGGCAAATGCCCTCCAGCAGTTCGGCGACACGACGATACCACCACGCACCACAGCATAACTGATTCCTCTACATGCTATTTTTAGCCCCCCGAAATCTCTACCTGAAACGTCATAATAAGATATAATGAGAAGATTCTCGAGAACGAACCGGCCGAGGGATGGGTGTTAGCTTTCTGTGAAAGGCGGAGAAGGGGCATTTTTTAAGAATTCTTCGTTTAAATGAACTGCCATCACAGTTTGCCCTTCGTCCCAATTTCTTCATTTGGCTGCTGCTATGAAATAATAGCACTACACTAACAGATACGTTATCTTGTCTGTTTTACATGACTATACACGTACTCCTTGTTCGTTATTGCTATCATTGCTGTTGAACGTAACGGTGACGTTCGGGCAGGTGTCTGTCAGCGTGCTCGTTATAATGGCATATTGTTATGATACATGACTCGACTGGCTCGTGCTGATCGATGTGCTAGTTGACAGCTCCATAGTTCCGCGTTATGCTGTTTTTATCTTTAGCAATCACCAAGTCAATCAACAAAGAGCCGCGATTCTGTAAGGACTATGTTCGCATGTACACATTACAGATTGTTACGGACTACAATGCACTACCATCTACCACATTCTGGCGTAAATACGGCAACACCAGCGTACATGCGTAATTAGCTATCCATCCATTTGAATTGTGGATGTCGCAGCATCAAAACACTTCTCCAGAGGCATCCTGAATAAATTGATTAGCTTATGCAGTTTGGATTCGATAGAAGGACTACTATTGTTTCTTCTAGCCGACTTTCTAACGCGGCGGTAGCAACAGCAAGAAACCATCCATGATAAAATGTTGATGCATTAAAGTGGAAAAGCATGAACATCAACTGAATCCGCCTGGTTTGTCAAGTCTATCTATGCTATTAACAGTGGCACTCTGGCAGAGAACGGATGTTTGTTTTTGTTGCAGTTTAAATATTGTCGAAACTCGGAAAATGTCCTTAGTCTGACTGGTTAGAATTAAACCTATAAGTCGCAGAGGATAGAATCGATTATGCCGTCCTTGTGGTCTAACTACTGAACCTTACGTCAATAGTAAGATTGCTTGACTAGATCTTATACTATTGTAATAATGCAAGATCAACTAGACGAAAGAAAACAGTTTGGGCCTGGACTGCTAATTATAGGCGTGTCCGACAAGAATAGAATTCTGTAGAGTTATTTTAAAAAAATATAACATTTTCAAACCTAGAACTAAACTGCATGCATATGCAGGCATAACAAGTGTAAAAGCAACCAACGCCTAAGTTTGTAATTGGTATCAATGCTTGTGCCTACGAAACATGCTTGCTTACCCAATCAAGCGACACTCTATTCGATTTTCCTTGCTGCATATGGCCTACTTTGACGACAAACTCTGCCCACTGCATGCAGCCGCGTCACTCTATCATATCGCTGCTATTCTAATAAATTATTTTACCCTGTTGGTTCATGCATCGTCATAGTATCATTTCTATCACAAATGTTGAGCACCGCTTGATTGGCATAATACCAAAACTATTTCACCTACTTCACGAACGCGTGTAAACCGAGTTGGCTGTGCCTATTGCTATAATAGTATGTTGAATTCCCTACACTTGTAGCCACTGGAACATGAATATCATTATGCACCGAACTCAAGATTTTGTTGCGTACGAACAAACAAGTTGTTATTACTATTATCATCTAGAGCTGCTTTCATCTAAAATCTACAAACTTCACTGGTATAACCCATAAAGTATTTTGATTAAAAACTGCTTTAAACGACCTGTATCATTTGTCTATTTCACAACAAAGGCCTGCGGACGTTAACTAAGCATTTCAAGACAACAGTGACCTTCAGTGACTCTTCACTTCAACTCTCTATGCATTAAGATACATAAATGATAATGACAAAATTGTTCGTAAGAACGCTACTGCTTCTAAAATACAACAATCAAAGACCTATTTACTCGAGAAATTTATTAAGGTTACTCGGATGTTAACAAATGCTGTGAATACAATGGCTATGGCATTAGATCATGCTGAAAACACAATAAATTCTCTTATTATCAACAGCCTAGCAGCCCTCTAGCCCGATGGCTACACAGATCTATATATATATATATATATATATACATCTATATATATACATATATATGTAGATAGAGTGAGAGAAAATGTATTACTATATCTATTATCCTTTCTAAGCTAGCCCATATCGAATTTAAACCCATTGCTTGTACTACTATAAAACGCATATAGTTTTTATAATGAAACAAATAAAAACAAACAAAGTCTTTGGTCATTTAACAGCTTTCGCATGCGCTTCGTTTTATTGGTTACAACCATAAACATCGCAGGTAACCTTCAGCGACTTCAATAACTTAGTGTTGCCTTACCGACATAATAATAATAGTAATTCTTACTGTGTTTACACACGCCGCGCCTCCAGCATGGGGACAATGCTTGTGTTTCATTTCTTGTTATTTAAATAGAACCAATAATACGTTTCCTATCAGATTTTTAACCCAGAAAAGGCTAAATCGTGCGTAAGCGTGCTCTGAATATTTTGACTAAATAAAGCATTGAAAGTTGAATTGGAAGTTGCGTAATGACACCAGAAATCAATCATTTTAAAGCACAACTTAACTAATTCGTTTCATTAAAAAAGATTATTAAGCTTAATCTGACTATGCAACGCAACCTAATTTCGGAGTTACCACTACATCGCATCTTGTTTTGATTTCAAGATTGGATAAATTCACATAACGGAACCGCACTTTAGTTCGATTTCGTCCAGTGAAACAGCATTGCGGAGTCGAAAAGTAAAGCAAAAGCTCAATCGTTCCACTATTACCATCGCCATGATAAACATCGTCATTGAACGCAAAAATAAAACGAGCATTTCCCTGTACTGAGAAAACGCGCCAAATTTGAAAATTATTTTCTAAATTGATTTGAGATGCTGAAACTGGAGGGTGGCCAATGAGCTTTCGTCGGGCAGACCAGTTACGATTCTTTATCTTTAAATGATTACAATAATGTTGTGATGTTTTATATTGTCACTGCATATTGTCATTCCATATTGTCACTTCTGTTCACATACCTGCTCCGCTTCTGACAGCATGAGAAATCTCCTTGTTTTCTTTCTCCCTACCATTATTTCTCGCTATTATATTGTTTTTCCATTCTGTCATCGCTTCCACTGAAATCTACGTCAGCTTCACCAGTCCCCTATTGATGGCCACCCAACCAAGCTAATTTGCGCCTTCGCGTACTCCATTTCTGCGAAACAGATTGATGCCAGCAGATGACGCCGTCTCAATCCACCCTCTCCCTTTCCTGGTTTCTAAAGTTTACTACTCTTCGCCGTCATGATCATCATCATTATAGGCATCATTCATTTCGTTTTCGATGATTTTTCGCATTCATCTGCAAGCAATTCCGCTCCTATCGAACACCAGACACTCCATTACTGCCTGAGTTTTCATTGCTGTCCCTTTCACTAGACGTTTCTGGCCGAGTTGCGCATACTCCACTCCACGACTGCACGTTTTCCGACCTACATCACTCACAACACACACGAATTCACTAGCGCTTATCAATCTCTTCCACTTAACTTCACTCGGAGTCGAATAGTGGTTCAGGATATAGAGCATACTACTGCCTGTGTACTTAACTCATTTGTCTACAGTTTGCGTCTTTTCACTGCATTCATTATTATCGTAATGATTATTAGATTTATCACACTGTCATCTCTCAATATCATCACCCGTTGCGCATACCTTCTTACTAATAATGCTCTGCTGAATAGTGTTTCAATGTCCTCGTTAGCAATTTAAGAAATGGCCTAAGATGTCCATGTCCATTTACTTGAGTGCGTGTGAATGTGACTGGATCTGGTATGTGTATGCGTGTGCGCACGTGTTTTTTGTTTTTATGATTAATGTTTTTCTGGCTCCGACCTAGTGATCATAGTGACGCTGACAAATGTTTATGAGATAATTTCATTTTCCGCTTGTTACCCATTTATTAGATTTTATCTAATTTTTTTTCCTATATTCCTTCATCTACCGCTAAACGGCACGATGAGATGTTTATCGATAGAATTAGAACTGTTTGGCTGTATGTGTTCTCTCTTTCTCATTTATTGTTTCATTAATGTATATTATCTATTGGCTGGTTAGCTTTACAATATAAGTTTTCATGGGAGTTGTCCGAGACAGCTTCGGGTATTCAACTAAAAATTGCGACAATACTTGTACACGTCTTCCTTGCCTACGTACACATAATTTTTGTCCGTTTTCTACCCTTGTTGAGTTGCATCTCTTTCATTGCCTTTAACATTTACTCGTTCCTGAATTCAAACGGAATTGTTTGTTGCTAATTTTTTCTTGCCTGTTATTTTGTTTTTTTTTCAATACTCTCAATATAAATTCGTTGTTGTTGTTGTTGTTGTTGTTGTCATATTCCCACATGATTTGATTTCGTAGTCGCTTTCTACTTTTCATTTATCCTTCTTTCGCTCTTCCTTGCATCCTTCTTCTCCTCTCCCTTTATTTCTAAATTGCTTAATTACTTAGTTTTTCGTAATAGTAATAATGGAACTAATAATAAAATTGATTGACAATTTGTTTTTTTCTTATCTCATATGTACACAATGAATGAATTGGTAAACATTTTTTATATTGGTTCCTAAATGTGTGTTCGTTAGCCCACTAAGTGGCGGCACATGCGGCTGCCGTCGTTAAGAAGCTCGCGGGTCCTGATGATGTTGGAGGGTTCGAATCACAGCTGGCACAACTCTCAACGGATGAGGGGGTTCGCGCGAGAACAGCGGCTTTGTTGCCCGCCTTTGTCTGGGGTTCACGCAACCGTCTAACCGCTTCTTGAATCAAAGTGCCTCGCCGTAGTAGAGCCTGAAGCAGCTCGTATGGATCCTCCTGACCAGCGGATCGACCTGGTCTAGCGCCTCCACCGCCACGCGATGAATGCCCGGATCCGCGAATGGTTCCGCTAGCTGTTGTTGATGCGCCGCACGCACAGCCAAAACGAATTGTATCGGGTCGACGATTCTCGCGGGACGGTACGCTGTACGGCGACACTCGACGGGACGCGCGTCCGCCATTAGTGAACGTTGCTCCCGACCCACAGGTGCAGCCCGTGCCGCCAGTCCGACTTGTCAATTGTACAGAGACGATTGGTGATTTGGCCGCCTTAAGCTTGAGGTTTTCACGAATTGCGCAAACCAGCTCATCCATAACCAACGGCGAACTGTGGCCGGCCGAGCCCAAAGTCTGCAAAGGCAACGGACTTTGAGTATGGTTGTGGCTAACGGCCTGCATCGAGAGCGGATTGTGGCCGTTTAGGTCACTAATATCTTTGAGCTTCATATCGACCACCATTCGTGAACTGCAAAATTTGAACATGTCCAAACAGGACTGACACCCGAGAACAAACCGTTCCGATTCTCTATCGATGATAACAGTACGCACCCTATATCACACGAGCGATTCTCCACAGCGCAAAAGTACGACCAGTTGTTACGCTCACAAAAGCTTTTACACGCTCACAGCAAAATATCTACATGGAAAAGTTGTGTTTTTTTCCATAAATCCAAACGATACTGGCGCCAGCTGTTGTCAATTCCACCGCCGTTGCTCAAGTAGCTGCCAACGAAAGAAAATTGACGACAACAACAACAACAACTGTTGTTCCGTTACAGTGTGTAACCTGTATTCGTCGATGCGTTCAAGTCGATTCTGCCCGGGTTTGCCAATCAAACACAGATGATTACGCTGTGGATAGTAAGAGGGGAACCGCTCGAATTGTTTTGCGTTGATATTGAGTTTTGGCTGTGTACCAAGCAGAACAGATGCTGTGCTAGGCGAAACAGATACTCTGGTACTCCACCTCCAGTGGAAATCATTCGAATGCTATTGACTAAGCCTTAGGAATATCAATACAATTCAGTTACACATAGTCACAGGGAGGTTGACGATCGCACAGTTCGGTCTTTCTCACACAGACATCTCTATTGAAGATCAGATACGACGACCAATATAAGAACAATACTGAGAATATCCTAACGAAAAGATAACGGCCCTTCAGTGCCGCCACAGATGTCCTGGCTAGGCTGGTTCTATTGGTTTTGTCGCTATTTCAGATGTATATTCTGTCCGTAAAGGACACCGATGTGGACGGCAGGCTTATTTACGTGTTGGTTTTAGACAGTGCTGTTGACGGGGTTAAACTGTCGTACTAGCATCAATAGTCAACCATTAAGTAATCACCAACCTCACGATACGTTCAGCAACAGCTAGTAGGAATCCAGATTGCGTGTAGTTAGATAATAGTGGACGATATCTTTGTACACACCATCATCAGCGCACACATCAACGCGTACGCTCAAATATCTACGTAACGTCGTATTATCCAATTGGTTATCCTTTCGTTAGATGTCGATAATGCGTTGAAATATCCGTAAGTGGTTCACTCAATCATACACAAGCACAAATACTACAAAGTAAAGCATTAAATGGTTAAATCCACGGTTAGATGGCAGAACGCTGCAGCTAAATAGTTCGAAGTAAAGGACTGCCCTTCAATTCTCACTTGTATTGCGTTCCGCTGACCGATTGTGTTCGTCCTGTGTTAAAGTAAACACTTGGCCTGATTGTTCTTGGCCAGATTAAAGTCAACTGACATAATGTGTCGTATGTAGGTCTCAGCTATGTAACTATTAACAACGGCTGTCCACTGCTGGCTGGCTTGCTTACGATCACCTCCCGTCGTTGTTGTACCCACAGGCGACGCGATCTCCCGTTCGCCAGGCTTCACAGTTTGTAAATATCAGCCTAGCCGCCCCGGCGCAACGATACACCGATGGTCATAGCGGCCGCGCTACAGCAATAGTTCGTCATCGTATACTATGTGCGCTCTTCACTCTACTTGGCCAGACAACACAGTCATCCGCGCTACCGCCATTGGCCGCAGCAGCGAATGCGCCAGTGACGGCGGTAACAACATCACCAGCTACTGTTAACTGCAATAAAAATGTTGCCGGCGCCACAGAGCGGACGTCGTCGAATCCCCTTGCTCTTTCTTGATCGCCAGAGTAAAACAGTATTTGTGCTGTGAAAGCGACTCACTGCTGCTGGCGGTGTTTGGCGCTTGGCGCCTCTCCATCTCCACGCGTGCCTTCTCCTTCAGTTCGTTTCCCGCTCGCGCCGCATGTTGCGCATGTGCGGTTAGTGCGCGTGATGAACTAGATCCCTATAGAATTGAGATTATCTGCGTCAGAGATGCGGGCTGTGGTGGAAAGGTTGCTGGGTCTCGAAACGTGTTGTCGTCCGCGATTTGCTGGTGGTCGCGTCATGTTGAATAGCGCGGAACGCACCTTTCAAAACAATAACAACAACATCCGCAGAATCGGCCTGACCGGGTCGAGACATCAAGCGGCTCGGCTTCTACCAATAGCGGATGGCAACAGCCAGCTGGAGCCGCATTTCTCTGCCGACGTTTCTATGTTGTATGAGTGTCCCTGTGAGTGTGCATGTGTGTGTGTGTCTGTCTGGTAAGTGTGGCTGGGCATGCGTGTGTGATGTCTGTGTCTTCGCGGGCGCACGTGTGTGTGTCTCTGAGAGGGTCTTTGGGTCGCGTGTGTTAGCAGTTTAACTGTCCATGCGCCTCTATGAATGTGTAGGGCCAGCCGTAGCAGCAGCGGTACAACAACGACAAGAGGCAAATGCCCGCGATTCGCGGAGCAGATGACGTCACGGAGGCCAACACGATGAGCAATTGGCGATTGGCTCGTGTAGTGAACAGTGAATTGCAGCGCGAAAAAGGAAAACAATGACGGCGCTCACTTGTAGAACAACAACTGAGCTACGATGAAGTCTACAGAAAGTCACCGCGGCACTACTGACGGCCGCCGTGTTGTTGTTCAAGGGGGACCAGTTGCTGGTCAACCGCCACACTATACTGAATAGACAAGAGAAGGACATCGCGCATAAATGCTGCTATTTCGCTTTGCAATAACTAACTGTTTTTTATGCGGCGCCAAAAAGTAGGTTTTTACACTTCTCGCGGTGGAGTTGTTTTGACTGGAGACTCTTGTCAGTGGGTTTGGCGCTGGCGCCCGATTAGCGGCGGCACAGACATTGACAGAGTAATTGGCTTCTGGTGCTGCCGCAACTCGGCACGCCAATTACCCAAAAATAAATAACATGACCATTTGCAGTGTGATAAGAATTGCATTCCGCAACAAAGAAATGAACTCTGCAGTAATAAAAGGAAAGCGCTTTCAATGCGCTCATTACTGATACAAACAAAGTTGCAAAAGCTGAACAGTGTTTTAAATCCTTTTACGTCCAGTATCGCCGTCAGGCATACTTTTATCAGGCAAATGTGGCGGCCTTAGCCAGTAGGCGCAAACCCACAATAGCGGATAAAACAGCGACATAGATAGCAAATGGTCTTGTGTACTACTAGTTAGATACGAGCCTGTGTGCCTGAGGGTAAGTATGGTGAGTAATCTCCTAGATATGGGTGTATGAGGTTGGGACAGAAGCAAAACGACAAATTATTGGGGCGAATAAGCTTGTCAGAGGAAAGTTCTATTTTATATACATATGTGCAGTATAATTTCCTGAATGTAAACCTGACAGAGCAAAGTTCGTTACTAGCAATGTTAAGTGAGACAATACTTTCAGAAAGGCACTCGAGCTTTCTAGGTTGCCAAAGCGAAACTTATTGAGATTAACATTTGTCGAAAATTTATTGTAAAGAACCGCTTGAAATCAGTACAGTGTCACAGAATACGCTTCCATCGTTAATGGTAAATACTTATGTGGTAATATCATCCATCTTCCTGTAGTGTAATAAATGCATTTTTTTATTCACTTAAATTGTAAGGTGTGCGACTAAATTGACCTATTTTGAAGTAGCACATGACAAACAACCTCAAGACGACCAAATCATTGATGATGGATATAAGAAAAATCAGAGATTGAGATTTTTAATTTGTTGTAATTAATTGTAATTAATTGTTCTTTCTATAGCAAAATTCAGACGGCTGTGTCATTAAATGCTTTGTTTTTAGGAGGTTAAAAACCTTTAAAATGCCTAACGTCAACCAGACTTTACTGCCAAGGTGTTCCTTTGTTTTTGTGAAGCATCAGCTGGTAAACCTTCGTATCCTTGGGCCTTGGTTCGGTAGTGATTCTACAATCATTTCACGTTCGACCGTACACGTTCGCACAACCTGTCTTGGAAAATAAAAAAAAAAAACAAGATGCTAAATCAGATAACTCCACACGGAGAATAGTTTCACAGTGAGAGTTGAGTGCTTTGTAATTATCTTATTGTATATACTGCAATTAACGGTGAGAGAGCCAACTTATGACAAACTAATTTTACTGAATTTGGGTAAGTCGGGTCTGTTGTCGCCCTTTCGCTGCCGTTGATCTTGCCAATAACGTTCTGAAGTGTCTCGCCTCGTTGGCTGGCCAATCTGCTCTGCTGATTAACAGGAAAAATTCTTCTAAATACGGCTTTATTAGCACGCTGCAAGGCAAATTAGCATGCAATAGCACGCAGTTCTTCCGATGAAGTTAGTAAATACTTAAATAATATTAATAATAGAATATTTAACGGTTAATGGCCGCTGCGTCTCACATCTACCATGATCTTGATAAAAAGACGACCTGCGCATTAATGTGCACCTAAACAGACCTACTGAATTTCGTGTCGACGCAGTGATTCTTTCTCGAGAAGCCAAAATTGCCCGCCAGGTTCATAAGCGTCCACTAGTGGCCCGAATTCACCTGCTTCTATACCAGTCATTATTAGCATATTACGTCGTTGCTGACGGCCGCCTATAAGTGGTAGCTCTAGTGCAGTCGTGTCATTGCTATATCAATAGGAGTCTGGCTGTGGTAGCACTGATAGCATCAGTAGTAGAATATGAAATCCGAGCGTAGAAGTAGATAGTGTCCATCGGAATACGCGGCGTTAACCGTCAGTGGCCCGAGACCTGCTGATGGTGGTGTTGCTGCTACAGCCGGAACGTCGCGGCCGCTGCTGATGAATCGGCGCTTTTGCGGAGTTACGAGATCGAATCCCACTTGACTGTCCGCTAACATTACGAGGAATGGGCTCACAAACAGGCCGGGCGCAGCGAGCTATCATGGCAAGGTCGAGGCTGCTGCTACTGCTGTCAACAAAGTAATGTCTATTTTGCAACGAAGCACCCATCCGTAAGCAACAGTCTCTGACGGCCGGTTTGTGGTCTGTGGTCTCTGCCGTCTGCAACTGCAAACAACGGCCAATGAACAGAATAATGAGAGGGATTATGGAGCAATAGATCTCCGACCGTTCTGTTGTACTAGCTGCAGCAGGTTTAGATAAGCACTATAGACGACTCCAGCGGGCTGCCGGCGTCCATGGCGGCGATTTGTACTGGAAAACTACGTTGATAGAGATGGCTTGTGGCAGAATTGTTGCGTCAATACTGGGCTAGTTCTACCAGCTGCCTCTTTATGTGGCGAAAATTGTTTTTACTGGTAAAGATGAGGCAATACGCGGTCAGTAACAACAACTCTGTTGTTGTAAAACGATGGCGTCAGACAGCCAGTTATGAATGAATGAAAATCTATTTGTAACAGAAGTAACGGCGTTCACCAGACCACGTGGTGCTTATTCGTAGTGCGGTGGACTTCAGACGGCTACCTTCTTCAAGCGTGAGACTCTAACTGAATTGTCTTTACCAGATTCGAACCCAGACTACCACAAGTTCCTAAACTCATGAGGCAAACACGTCTCTCACTGCTCTGTCACGGGCACACAGTGGCGCTCAACCGGCGCTTGCTATCTCGAGAGCGACTGCCAACGAAATCGGAAAAAATTTGTCGTTGTTTTTTTGCTGTTTGTCCAACGCCGTTGCTGTTTACTATCGAGCAAATGAATTCGATTCACCACCTCATTATCGCGTCCAAGACTCGGGCAGATGATTAGTACCGGCAATGGACTTGGAGTTTGTTCAGATAACTTCTTTGATTGACAGAAACGTTCGTCTCGGGCGTACCTCGATATTTTAAAATTAAGAATAATCGCCTTTTGGCTTTTACGAATTTTTTGAAAGTAAGATATTTCTAGAACGTGTTCTTATTTTACGGTCATTGCGTAATATATTTTGAGTATTTTTTTCTGAATTGTCGATAGTGTCGATCGTTAACAGGAGCACAATACCGTTTTTATGAATAAAGAAGTAATCTGCGATTAATATTGATACTTGATATCATTAAATACTACCGCTAGACATTACGACCCAACAAGGCCAAAAGTTCGTAAGAGCTGAATAAGTTGAATAATTCGGTCCAAAGCAGAATCTTCCGAGTTCAAAACCAACTATTATTCGACTCTAATCATGGAAAATACGACTTTAAATTAAAACGCACGGGTTTTTGGGCGGTGTTTTATCGATAGTTAGTAGTAGTTACAAATGATTTCAGTAGTACCTTTTTTAACAGTCAATTCAGTCACATTTCTCTTAGCCAAATGATCTCTAGAGAACAAAAAAAAACGAATTTATGTGTAACGGTTTCATTCACTGATCGTTTTCTCACAGAGGCCATGCTATACGTGCCATTTTAATCATTAGGGATCGCTATCCAAAAGGATTGAAAATCTCGACATTTGTCAGCTTTCCGGACTTTTTTTTCAGCAATACGAACATTGGAAAAGCAAAGCGTACTAAGTGCTTCCGTCACAGTCAACAATAAAGAGAATTTCTGCAAATACATCAGTCGAACACGTGGTAGTCCCGGTTCGAATCCGGGCATCGACAGCCTTCGTTTCGTGCCAGCGAGAGCCGCTCATCTACTTGGCGTAATCATACCCCATATACATTTTTGCCTCTGTTCAGATCTGAGGTTGCAGATAAGACATACTTAAACTCACGGCCACAGCTAAGTACCCCCTCGCAACAGCTCTATGGCTCGCCGAGCGTTTTCGTTTGAATGTTATTCTAGGTTGTTTAGAAGCGAGTAACAGTAAAACACATTCGTAACGTCGACTCAAGTGAATCGTTGCTAGCCGTTCGTAAACAAACTTATACGCGAAGCACCGACACCTTATCATTGCATTGCATGTATACAACTACGATTTGTGTCCTAACGCACTAAAAGTTCTAGATCTTCGACTTTAATAAACAATGCCATCGCCGCGTAGTCCGCGGCAGAGCTTCAAGACAATATTTACAAAAAGTTCGCCTCTGCTGCCTATCGACATAGTTAATCAGATCAGTCATAACATTATTTTATCGATACCATTGGCCAGGTAATAAACATCTTTTTCAATGAAACATATGTTTCATCACTGCGCAGATAAAACAGATGGCCTTTTTTGTAGCTGCCGCACCGATTGCGTCATTAAACGCTTTGTTCTCGAATGTTATTGCAACCGATTGGAGAGAGAATCTACGTAGCAGGTCGCGGCGGTTGGCTTTTACCTGCATACGAAGGGAAAGGGCAACGCAAAGAGCCCATCGTTCGACTAAAACAGCTTCGAAGTCATTCGAGATTGTACCACACAATGTTGTTTCCAGTGGATGCGTGGCGTACAGCTGCGTCGCCTGTCAGATGATCTGAACTGTAACGAAACCGCACGAACGCCCTGTAATCCGGGGTATGCTGAAATGGCAAGAAAAATATTGTGCAGTTTGAAAAGGGTTACCCTCGCTCGAACTGCGCCGAACCAATAATCTCGTGCTCAGCCTAGACTTTCGTTCTGAGTTACGCGCTTAGGTTCAGGAATATACGATGGATAATACTAGTTGCGTCATCTGTGGTAGCAAAGAAGAAACGTACAAGGCACTAGCTCGAAAGAAGCCAGACTTTTTACATTCTGAATTTTTCTATTAAAAAAAAAGGGGCTTATCAACGTGGTGGCATTGCATTGAAGTACAGTCGATTGATCTCCATATAACATTGCTGGTGCTGATATACCAATTATATTATATTGTCTTTAATTATGTGGTAAGAACATTCCATAAAAGCGATCGAAACTTGCACAGAGTATTTCAGTGCCACAAGCACAACAACAGCAGAACTCTAGGTTTGCCCACATACTTTATAAGTTGCTATTACTTACCTCGGATGAGCAGACGCTTCAGTTCTGGGCGCATTTTTCGGCCGTGCTATCTTAGTATCGAAATATAGATATTTGAAATCTGTGAGCCATAAATTACCGTCGCATGATTTCGACCGGTATAGGGAACTCGTCCAGTAGACAAATGTTACAAGCGAAAAACATGCAGGAACAATTACGTACATTTATCTGCCAGTGTTTGTTCTTATCTCCAATGCAATCAACCGAGGGATGATATCGCGCATTTGATTTGCAACTAATTAGTATTTTAGTTCGTTTGATATGGCTTCCGAACCATTGCTCAAATATGAGCATTACTTGTCGTTAGACAAACCAGAAGTAAAATTTGCTTACATTCCCAATTTGCGGTTTTCACAGTAATTGCCTTGCTTAGTGTTTTGATTTTCTTATTACCATCTTGGTAATGTCAAAATTGAATTCACATTTAGGAACAACACGTCTAATAGCTATTCAAGAGCTCGCCATACAACGATTATGGCGTTTCCAATTAAGTGTGTGCGCAAGTCTAACAATCACAGGATTTTCAGAGCGAGCCCTTCAAACATTCGCCTCGCGCGCCTTGTACAATAGCGCAAGGACATTTAACACACTAGCACTTGTACTAGCATTTATGACGATGTGGCTTTTTCGCGAATTAAGTGAGGAATGACAGTCTCACGGTAAGAAAACGATGTTTTGAAGTTTTGAAATGCAGCTTGGTTGTAATATGTGTTGCATCTATCAAAGGGAAAATAAAGCTGAAAAACATAGGAGCTAATTCTGGATACGTACATGATGGCCCAGACGTACAAGGTCTCCCTAGTAAAAATCCGGTGTACCAAAATCTTTATAGCACTTGGAACAATTTATGCTAAGAATAGTGTATACACAGCACGATGTATGCCTTTTGACCCGCCTCGAGTGAATCAGAAGCAAAAAGATCACCGTGATGACTGGCAACTTGCTTATTAAGGTATACCTCGTGTCGAAGGCTACTTTCAGCCTCGACCATCTAACTGCTGTTACGATGGCTTCAGCGAATGTCAAACTAAACGCCCTCCTCCCCTGTGACGAACTAGATCTCATACCGATGAAGCCACAATCACAGTTGCCACTGCGTGCTAAGGTGTACCTGAATATATTCCATCTGGTAGATAGTGACATCGGATTCCTTCTGGCAGCCCAAACCGCCGTGCCCATTGACATGCTGAAAAAGGGATCCCCATCCAATCAAAGCCAGATAAGTATGAAAGTGAAACTGTGTTTCCCGCAGCTTTGGACAATAAAGCCAACATCTGTGTAATTCACCTACCAGCAGCTAATGTGGATATTTAAGAGAAGGCAAGAATTGGGGTCAAAGAGACTCTCGCACGATAATAGAATAGGAATAATAGGAGCATTTTTTTATATATACATAATGTATTACTGAGCCCGCAATTTATTTATACTTAATAAATATCGACTTTAATGAATTGGTAAGGTAAATACAACATAAAAAAGTATAAAATAAAGTTTGCAAATTATTTTGGATCGTTTTCAAAGTCTAGTATTGATTTTTAAAACAATTTGATATCCACGCTTATCTATTGACGGACAGGTAAGTGACAGTTGCTAATTGTGTCAACGACACTGTAAACCTAGGCAATACATGAGCAATTTTAAAAATAGCAGAAGGATAGATGTATGCGCGTATTATACCTGCAACAAAATAAAAGGACTATAATTCGAAACACGCTGCAAAAATCAACCCTACTGTAAACCCAGCATTGTCAAGAATACACCAAACTTCCACGTATAATCGGTGAGCTGAGATTTGGGATCAATATAAAATATAGTACTTCCTATTTAAAATTGTACCAAATTGTGTTATAATTCTTCTTCGGCGCTAACATTGATGACAGTATAGACTAGAAGATTATTATTCAAAGCTAGGCGCTCTGTGCATATTAACTTTTATATGCGCTATTTATATGCGCTTTTTTAAAGCGCTTTTTCCTGCTGTTGTTATTATGGACTATTGTAAAAATCTAACTTTACTCGAAAACTCGTTTGGTTACTCCTATAAATAAAAGCATTCGTCACCGTCACCGCAATGCTCACTGTTTATGCTATTAAAATTTTTATATTCAACGCGTTCTTGAAATCATCATGTCATTTTTGACTTCGTTAAGGTGTACCTTGCATTTCAGTCAATACCTAGTTAGAAATCAACACACGAACACGTCAGAGTTGCAAAGCAATGAAATATTTTTCTTATTCAATTAATTTGTTGTTGGTATTGTTCTCATTTTATTTTTGTCTTGTTATAACACATAGTCTTTACAAAGATATCCTAAAGCGGCGGCTTTGTCTAGGCGAACCTCCAACGTTTGATTCCTTCCCATGCCCATATTGGAAAACGGAAAGAATAGTTCGAAAGAAAAGTTGGTTTAGCTTTAAAGATCCGCCTTTTGACGCTCTTCTTGTTATACTTATTTTATATTTGCAAGCTGCAGTTTATACAAGGACGGCAGGGCCGCACGAGGTCAGCGGCAGCTCCAGCATTTAGGTTTTACCGCTTAGCCTCTCGACACCTGATTTGCTCACCATCACCACCTATAAACTATAGAACGCCAAGGTACCAATGAAAGGCAGCTGGCCAAGCAGTGAACTGCCATGCTTAACTTACCCCCGATTTTAGCTTATCTTGAGAAAGCAGCTACTCGGTCGATTCTGATGCCGCATATTTAATTTGACAACGTCGTTGTCCCACTACTCAGTGACAGTACAAAGACAAGGTGATAATGCGTTATTTTAGCTACACCTGCCTGTCGGTGTCGGCAGACTATTCGTAACCCTATTATTCGGTGGACGCAGAGCTAAAGGTATCGGGCGCAACTCGCGAGTCGCAATCGTCGTTCTCGTGCTAGAAGTGTTTTGTTTTTCGCTTTGGTGACTCGCTACTTAACGACGGTATGTATATGCGGGCGTCTACCTCTATATCGCTCTGTTAAATTGATCGTGTTATACAAAGGAATTATCACATTCTCAATAACTTTCTTTCCCTATCGGTTTCGTCTACTTTTCCTCTTCTCCCTCTTTACGTTTCACTCTGTCTATCCATCAGTCCAGTAGCTACATTATCCTGTTTTACTTACCTTGTTTCGCCTATCCCTAATAATGGCTTATCCAGCCGTTCTTCTTGAAACACTATCAGACGTGGTCGTCCGTCAAACGTTATATTATACGTGTTTGTGTGAATATCACCGCTTCTGGGATAGGTTACCATGTCGCGCCATCACTACCGTAATTGCTAATGAATGAAATGCGCACTTTCTTCTGTTACTTATTTTCTTATGATGATTATTAATCATTATGGTCGTGATGAAAACCGACTATCCAGGCTGATTGCGTTGCCTAAAACACGCTGTGCTGATGGCCGGCGATCTATCCCCTTATATGCTGCTCGTTTCTCTCTGTCTGTATCTCTAGAAAATAGAAGAACCATCTAACGGCGATTGCTGTGCTTAACGCTAACTCCATAATGGATACTCGAACACTCTAGACAAACTTGAACTCAACCCAATTAAAGATCTGCCAGGCATTATCTTCAAAGAACAAATCGACGACCTTGCTCTTCCCACATCACAGCCATCATATATCTGCTGCCACAGGCAATTGTCTTTGCCGTGCGTGCCTATGTTACCTTCGATGATTTTGTCTTCCAACACATGCCGGACGCATACAGAGTGGTTGTTATTAATTTGTTTCAGCTTAATCGTAACTTTAATTCTTTTACGGCCACGTTCTGTTGTAAATCTATCCAGGATAATCGATTGCGTTGGAACCGTAAGTTTTCTGCCCTGTTTTTTTCGCTTAATACCCCGTCACATATCCCGTGAGAAATCGTCTGATAGACAGTGATAATGGAGTGGTGTAAACACCGGCTGTTTGCTTAACATAAAAAAGAAAAAAGAAAAAGATGGAAAAACGAGTCGTTATCACTTAGGACTATACCGTGTTCAGTGATCGTCGTTGTTAATATATACTAATCTCATTATAAAATGGAGATCCACAAGGTTCCAAGGGAAGAAAGAGTAACTAGTAAATAATAATCGTATGTTTGTAGCTTCGTCACGTCCATTACAAACTTCTTCGCCATTACTATTTACGTCTTAATATTTTTTCTTTTTTCTTAATATTTTCTGTTTTTCATCTTTAGAAGTCTTCTTGGACTTCACATATGTGTTATTCTCTGTCGTTTTCCGGATGAGCAAGATTTCTGCGTCGCCGGCAAACACAGTTAGCCAGGAACTTTGCCTTTCTGTTGTTGCTTTCTCTCGCTCTCTTTTTCAAGTAAATATATATAGGTACATATAAAAAAAATATGTAGAGGAAAAAAGAAAAGTGTATATATATACTTAATGACTACTTTCGTTAAATATGCATCGCTGCTTCTACATATGCACTTTTATACATGTTTTCTGCTCAAGTGCTCATATATATCTATAGGCTGGGGATTATCGTTCATCATCTAGTTTTCCTCCTCCTAGGCAGTTATAACTTCCCATATCACTTTACTCACTAGCTTTATATTAGTATAACTTCTGCTTAACCCTGGTATGTTGATCTGGCCCGCTTAGAACCATTTCTACTCATAAATTCAAATAAATGTAGATGCATAACCACGCGACAATGTGAAAATGCGAAAAGCCGCTCTACATACTTTCAGCAAGGATTTCGTTGGAGTTCAACAAAGAAAGGTATTTGCGGATGTAATTCAAGCATCCTTATTACGATCGTTATCAGCGTAAAATTAGAAAATTCAAGTTTGTTTCTCAGATAAATCTAAGCCCCTTTTGAGTTCTTACATTGCCTCACGTACTCCGTCAACGTCTATACGACATACGACGTATTTTTACTTCATTTCAAGTGTCATGTTCCCTTCCCGTAATCGCTAGTGCGTTTGTTTTTCTCCGTTTTCGTTTGCCCTTACGCTTTGCTTCCATATTTATTCGTATTGATTTTCACTACGATTACCTCTATATACGACAACTGTCCACCACCGAACTGCCAGTGGGACGTGGCCGTGTATTTACTATGATCGTAACTATTTTCCGTTTTTTCTTTACCCGATTTGACGATCACTTACACGAATATCAGATTTTCCTTATAACATGCCATGTTTCGTTATCGTCGTTATTGCCATGAGGGTGTTCTACGTCGATGACACAGGTATAACTATTCAGCCCATTATTATGTTACTCTCTAACAATTTATAGATGTGAACGATATCATACTGTTGTTAGTGGGTTTGCTTATCACTGTATGGTGTTTTTGTGTTAACATCATATATCCATGTCTTGTTTCTTTACACCTCTGCCCTAACATTAACCGAATTTATTCGAAACACTTCGCAGCTCGACCTTTTAATAAGATTGCACAGTGATATGAAGATTCGTCACAAAGGACACGGCCACGTCGATGGTTTACTTCCATAACATACTACATTTCCTGTTGCCCTCAAGGTGCTTCGTGCAAGAAAATATTTTGTTCTTATAGTATACGATCAGCAGCTCCGTTCAACCACTGTGTACTCTATCAATTGTACAGAGGTATGTGTGTTAAGCAAACAAAATCGATTCGACAGCCAGTGAAGAGAGCCAGTGATTAGAAGAGGCAGCAGAAATGGATCGAGGCAGAGATCAATTCCGACTCTGTCTAGGTGATCGACAGCCAACATGGCTGGACTTCAAATATATGTATATTATTCTATATGCGTGTATGTCTATTAAATACATCTGTTATTCTACTGCTATATATACATATATTGGCCAAAACCAGTGTACGGCCTATCTATTTAACACATACACATTCATATAATCACGCGCGAAAAACAACTTTGCCGTGACTGATGTTTATCCCATTTTGCCCGTAACCCTTAGCACATCTGTGTGTCCGTTTTTTTCGTATTATGTTTTCGGCTGCGTCAGATTTGTTGGACTTGCTGTCCCCAGATCCAGTCTCTGGTAGGGTTAACGCCACCCAGTTGGCTATCTACTACCCCGTCAATATCTGCCGCCATGCCTTTGGATCCTATTGATGGTTAGGCGAATCCGCTTACGCCAAAGACGTCGCGACTGGTAATAACACCGTTAAAGATCAATAGGTCGGATCAAACCCCAGATAAAACCAGAAAAATGTTCGTTCTCGAAAACAGATTTTTCGTTTTGCTTGGTACCTCCTTTCTTTCCTAAAGAGCACAGGCGCGCGTCCGGTTGTGTTGATTGTTTAGATATACTGATTCATAGTGTCTTCCCATTTAATCGGTATGTTGTTAGACAACCGAACAGCTAGCAACAACAATTTCAAATTTGAGGCCAAAGCTGGCGGTTAGACATTTTCTTGCGACTTTCGTACGGCGATGTTGCGTGACTAGGTCAAGACGGTCCAGCTGGATTGGAGAATGTTGGTACGTGGGCGGCTATTATGACACGTAATATCTTGATACCTTTCGGCCAAAACAGGTTAACGGAAGGAGGGAAAATTATGACAAATCCATGTGGACGCAACTGTTCATCGTCTTCGACGTAGTCGTCTAGTCGTCATTTGTCTTCGTCTTGCCCATTTCACACTTTGCTTAATTGTTATTGCGTCAGCAAGCACGCTTCAGATTGTGCCAATCCAGGCATCCACTTTAATAGTTGATCAGGTTTGTCGTTCAATCACGGACAGCTTTCCCGACTGGCGCGGGAAATGGGAAGTTTCTTCGGGGCGAATCAGGGTTCGATTCATTGTCAGAAGAGCCTCCACCCCCGCCAACTGCGCCAGGAGCAGCCGGATTTGCCATCGACGGTCCTGCTCCACCAGGGGCTCCGCCCTGAGTAGCCTGCGGTGCAAGCGGAGACCCGGGCGGCGGTTGATCAACATTGAGGAAGTCCCAGATAAGGATGGAGTCGTCGTGTGATGAAGAAACGATCTGGAACTCATCGAACTGCAGTCGGAAAACCCGACCAGTGTGTTCCTGTAGAAACGACAGACAACCCAGGCCGGCCGCGAAAGCCAGTTCTGTTAGTTTGGTTAGAGTGGAATCTCTCAATTTAGAAGTTAGTTTTGACGCGATTTAATTATTTAAAGTGACGACAAAATAATTTACAGGCAATCTCAAAAAGCTTAAACGATTAGTGGACGTAAAAAGCAAAAACAACTTTCCTCTGCTAGAGTTTGAACCTTTAGCTCTCTTACACTATTTTTATAGAAGCTTTTATAACAAAAATATCGTTCCGATGATTATGATGGTGTTAATGATCCTGACCAAAAGGAAAGCAAAACTTACGATAAGTGTGCGGACGCAGAGTTGAGCAGCTGGTGCACGATGATCTAACGCGGCATTCAGGTCCCACACCTATTGCAAAACGTAACTCATAAAATCAGCCCCTCCAATACCAGTACTGTTTATTTCTGCCATAATAAAAATGTTTAGTACTTGCGGAAGTATAATATTGTTATTATTAATATTATAAAAAAAAAGCGCGGAGTACGCGAAGGAACTCCTTTTGGTTATGTAGTTTCAGACAGAATATGAAAATATAATATAATATATTATAAAACATCGACGTGACGACTGGCGGCTACCGTGGCACCTAATCTAACAAGCTTAACTGACTGTCAGTCAGTCGGAAACTATTCTCCCTACGAAGCCATAATGTATGTTCTGCAGCCTAAACTATGAAAAGGTTTATTGTAATTCGTATATCACAATGAACCTTTTCATGGTTGTCAATTCGTGCACCGCTTAGTGGTCAGTTACCTTGATCTTCCCGTCGTAGGCACCTGAAACGATTCGCTTCGAATCAAACCGTATGCATCGCACAAGCTCTTCGTGTCCCTCAAGAACACGAAGGCATGTACCGAACTCGATATCCCAGAGCCGTATCGTGTTGTCGGAGGACCCGCTGACAACCAAACGTTCACGATACTGAAGACAAGCGATTCCTCGTCGATGACCATTCAACGTGCGCACAAATTCACACGATGAGGTGTTCCAGACCTGGGGAATCGATAATTACGATAAGATTAAGAGGATGTCGTCGCTTTTCCGAACTTTACAATTATTCACATCACGCTAAATATGTGCTTCTGATTTCTATAATCGTAATGGTTATAATTTGTATAATAGAGTCTCGTGTTATGTGTTCCTCTGAAATATACTGAAACACATAAGTAGCATAGCTTCTCCTTGCCACCTTTTTTGCTGAATCAAGGTGACTCGTCATATAATATCTAACCATACTAAACGTTGGGAATAGCCTGCCTTTCAATAATCTGGCTACCTCCGCCATAATTTTCTATGAACTTACTTTAATTGTGCGATCACCTGACGCGGAAACAATATAACGCTCGTCGAAATCAACAACATTGACGGCTGCCCGGTGACCGACAAGGACCCGACGAAGCGCAATGTCCCTTGGTGAAGTGAGGTCCCACACAGCAATTGAGCGGTCCTTTGAACACGTTACCATCATGCCGTTGGTAAAACGCAGATGTAAAACCGCCTCACAGTGGTGTATCAATGTGTTCACTAGCTCTCCAGTTTTCACGTCCCACACCTATGTAAATTAAAGCAACAAATATAACGACAAAAGCAGATTCGTAAGAATGAAATTCACCGAGAAACACAAGAGCTTGTTTATTTTGACTAGGTGAAACATTCTAAGCAGACTCATATTAATTTCCAATATAAAAAAAACAAGGTTATTAGCTGACCGAGCGTTTTGAAGTCAAGTCCAACACAGTAGACATAGAAAAAAAGAACTTCTTCGTTGTTTGTTGTTTTGAACTTGACTTTTTCGTTCGTCTAATTCAAAACAAAGTCATCTCAAAATTGAACTTTTCTATTATTTCCGTATACATGCCTTATACACCTCGCGTAAGATCGTCTCTCGTACTATGCCAAAAAAAAACCTGTCGGTCAGCCAGGAAAATACCCACTATTTTCTAATATCTACCACCCACAGGCTACTTTTGTAATTCCAATCCATTATGTACTTTAAATGAATGAAATCACGAATGAGATTCGCCTATAGCAGAAGCGAATCGCCCCCACTCCTAGTTCCAAATTTAACAACGATAGGTACAACACAGTATTGAGGCAGGCAATAATTCCTTCTTGAGTAGCAGCAACATAGTCGTAATTCTACGTAGGCCTCGGGACGCTAGAGTACCAAGTAGGGTCTATAGCACGGGGCCACGGTAATTTCTACTATGCTGGGCCAAGCATGTATGGTATCTATTCAAAATTATCCACTGAGATGCGTAGTCAAGCCAATGCTAACTCGTGTAGGCGTGTTTCCTAGGGCAGAAGCACCTAGGGCAGACACCAAAAGGACAGAAGGTCGGTTTGTATGCTGACACGAAAGACGTAACTAAACCACAAAAAAGGAGTACGAGAATGACTCATGGAGGTGACTAGGTCGCAATGGTGACATTGAATGAGGCTGATCATGACTGTTATACGGCTTTTATACTATACATTGCTAGGCTTGAGCAAAACAGGCAAAAACCGGCCTCCATATAAGCAACTGCACCCGGACCGTAGTTGTGGCAAAATTCTGTTCAAAAAAGGGTTGATAGTATAGTTACAAGAAAGAATAAAATTAAATAAAATGGGAAAGCTTTCCATTTATGAGTAACTTAGGTGAACGGCCCAACAGCACCTATATACCGAGGAAAGTCAGAAAGAAAATATTGTACTGATAACACAGGCTATCCGAAACTACCTAAAGTGAATCTGGAGAAAGAAACGGCCGTTCTGAGGAAGAATTAATAGCTTCCATGAATCCCAGTATCGACACGCGCTCTGTGAAGGCGAACTACAAAAAAATTGAAGATGAGTTTAATATTCTAACGGGTCTAAAAGTTCTTCGGTTCTTATGAATATTTTTGCGAGAGAAAGCAAGCACTAAACAATTTTATATACTTCCTAAGTGAAACGAACTTTTACGGTAGAGTCGGATGAGCCTGAAATGATAACCTGGTCATCATACTGCAGGCATAGAACGCTGCCGGTGTGTCCCTGCAGCACGTGTGTACATTTTAAGGTCTTGCGATCCCACATCTTAAGCGTATTGTCCCGGAGCCCAGAAACGATCTTGTTGTCATCGTACTGCAGACAGTACACTCCTGAAAATAGACGTGCCACGGTTACATACGTCACTAGTAGGAAGCTGCGAAGTTAGGCTAAGGAGTAACTTGATTTTATTGGGTTTTATCTAAGAAACAACCTATACATATTCGATGTACCAGTTCACTGGTGTTCATTTAGCAATCGAGCTATCCGTCACAAAAAGACTAAGATCGTGGCTATAACGGAAAAAGACGCACGGTATACAACGAATATGATCAACAAATAAAATCAAATTATAGAAGTTTTCCGGGTGCTGGAAGTCAATTCAGCAGTGGACATGGAAAAGAAAACCTCTTCCCTTAATATTATACATCTCAAACTAGTTATTAAAGATTAACTGCCGACTCTTTTCATAAAGGGGAATCACTTGAACTTTTATTAGAAAATCTAGAAGTATCTGCGCAACGTTAACGGGGCTAATTAAATGATGAAATAAGCTTAATTTGTGAAACGTAATAATGTAGTACTTCTGCATGCAATCAGTACTCGAGAAGTAGTATATTTTTAGCCCGATCGTCTGTTGACATTACAACAGGATCGAATTAGCGATCCTTAACCATGACGTATACTCGACATCGACAAAAAACACGCGATACTCGATGCTAAGGATGTTTTCGTCCTCTTTTCGCGTTTCCTGAATGACAGCTAAAGCCAACCGACTACTCTCACTTTGGGGTTTCTGTGTATGACCTTTGGAATACGATAGTAAGGTATTATTAGATTAGTTTACGGGGGTGGGCCATTGATTAATCAAGACAGTAAACCAAGATAGTGAATTCTCACTTTGAATAGAACAAAATGAAGCTATGTAATACTTTTCAGCCTTTTTTTTCTTTTAATTGCTGTTAATATAGAAATAGACCCTGTAGAATATCTCGTACTTTTTTTTGGCATAATATATGCGTTATGGTTACCGGGCGCTGCTCCAAGCATCTGGTATGATATCCACGGATTAGCTAGCTAATGTTTTTTACGTTCTGCCAAAATACCCGGTGGATCGAAAGAGCATTATGTTTACAACTGCGATCTGTTTTACCATTTCACTGTAATTTTTAATCAATTGTACCATTTTTGTTCAACGACAACTCGACACTCGAAAGATAGAGATTAACACCGGAGGAGACAGCATGATCTCTGTATCCACGTCGTCTTTTCCATATTAAGCCAGCGTTCCTCACACATCCAGCTATGTTTTCGCTTTGAAATTCTTAATGAAGCCCTTCCTGCTCGACAAAAAATCCGTCCAGGGCTATTTACGTGTTCTTACGTAATCCAATGTAGGCGGCCTGCTAGGATATTCTGTTGTCACTCGCCGGCTCATTCATTTATCTATCGCGCATAAGACAGTTTAGCAAACTATCAACTCTACTAACCTTTGGAGTTTTCGCTTCGACAATTGATCTTCTGGAGGTTAGGTCGGCCAGTTTTCCAGTTGTCTTCAATCGCTTTGATATCTGTAACCACGCTGGGATAGAGTTTGCGATAGAACATGTGTCCTGGATGAGGCTTACCCGGCGCCGGCTTAAACAGATACTGCATCCAGCCCCGACGTTCTGCCAGACCTCGCCATAGTGGGTCGATACGAACCTGCCGTTCGATAAGCTTCTTCCATAGCATACCTTCAGCTATTACTCGGTACCATTCTCTCGAGACACATTGAGCGTTCGCTAACGATTGTACATCGAGATATGACAGAATGATTTCAGCAAGATGATCAAGACCTTTCTTCGGTAGCAGACTGATAAAGTCTCGTTGCAACATAGGAATCAAGGTTGAACTAACGCGCGAATGCTGGGCGTGGCTCATCATTAAAAGCAGTTTCTCAACAAATGCCACCTGATCATCTTCCGCGGCTCGATCGAAGTGTTCGAGAGCCGTTTGCAGGTAATTGCGGTCTTCGGGGGCGGTTTCGGGAGGTGCCCTCCGTGCCATCACGCAAGGATTAACTGGAGACATTACTACGGGACATTCACCAATTTGCATCTGTGTGTCAGGCCAAATAAAAACATGAAAGAAAGCAGGGTTATAAGCTATTACAGGTATATATTATCGTTCCTAAACAGAATAAGTTTAAAATAAGCTAGCTGCTTCTTGTGTGTTCGGACAGGATGTTTTGCGTGCAACATGGTTATCTTCGAACAGCTGTAGTTCAGGAGCAAACATTTACATTACCGCTGTGAATTGACGCCTAGTTCCAAACTGCAGTGACGGTAGACCAATGAGTTACTTAACTTCTGTATAATAGTACCCTTAAAAGCCGCAATGGTTCAACCAAAAGTGAGATTGTCATACGGGACTACTAAAAACACCTCACCGTACTAACATAGCTCACGCAAAGTAGCATTTTATCCCATGTGTCCTCTCTTTTCAAGCATCCTGTGTTCTAACAATCCTAAATCTCGATGAAGAATATCTAAATCACGTATACAAGAACGCGCTTAGGTAAAATCGATAAATCATAAGAATTATTTGTATGTCCTTGACGCCCGTTTATAATAGGTCAGCATCGTCATTCCTATACCTTTTGGAGAACGTAGCTGTAGGACAAGATTTTGGAAACAATCAGGCATAACGATATCGCCGAGCATTAACCTGAAGCAAAACTTGCCTGGTAGAAGTACGGAAGCCGTCTATTTTTTGAAGGTAGTAAGATGCAGGAAAGTACTGCCAATGCTTCGAAGTCAGTTTTCTTTTAACTTCAACATTTCAAGTTAAAAGGGGATGCCTTTCAATTGTATATAGATCTGGAATTGGCAAGTGCTCTCACTCCTATAGAAATAGTGCTCTGCACGGGACTAAGTGGCCGCAATGAGTTTACACAATATAATAAGGTCCTTAGGTATTTCCACAGCGTAGCACGTTAGATTTAAAGAATCACCCTATGCTTCGCTTGTTATAAACAGTATTAAAAAAGTACTAATCTGCTAAATGTACCAATGGAATCAGCAGTGTGTTTTCTTTGAAGTGTTAGATTTAGATGATATTCTAAATAGCAAAACACATGCGGAAGTCACATGCGCCGAAGCATGTAATTACGAGTTCTACCGACACTTGCAACAACCTAGTAGCAGAGTTTTCCGTATCAAGGATAAAATATCGAACGCTTTCTCGGTGTGCGCTGGGAATGCTATGGCATCGAGTAGCAACGCTAAGCGATGCTTTTTTTGTATTAACTGTATCGTTTCTAGCATTCAGAAAAAATCCGCCGAGGCGTTATTTTACCCGTACAAAGCCACCCACCCACTCACACACACACCACACACACACACACACACACGCCAACAATGTCTTTCGTGTTTTTTTAAAGAAAGAAGTTCAACGAGTTACTGTCGTATTTGTTGCCATTTAATTGAAAACACACGCACGCTCACCAAGTTTTCATCGCTGAGAACTGCGCCGCTACCATCACTGACTTTTTCCTGCAGCCCGCCCATTGCTCTCGTTATCGCTTACTGTTCATACCGTAACAACCAAAGTCGATCACTGCAGCTCAGTTAGCTATGGCAGGGGGCATCACGGTGATCTTAAGCGTAGAACGTTTCACCCCGTCGCTTTTGGTATCAGCACCTTGTTTAGACTTTGCGTGCTCAGATGAATTGTGTCATGCATGCTGGATAACACATTCATGCAGGTAATACGTGGCGTGACTTACAGACAGAGTGTTAAGACATTGCCATCTAGAAATGGAGTAGGAGGGAGAAACAGCGTAGGTGAAGGGCAGATAACAGCTATCCCATTTGTTCTGTCTTTCTCTGTGTTTACTTGTGTGCGTATGTGCGTGTGTATTGTTTGTTTAAGGAGTATAAGTTTTTGTAAAGAACAAAAACATCCGAAATTGCACGTTTGCACGTGCGCTATATGGTGTTATACTTGGAAAACGCACCTTATGAAGTTACAGCGGAGGGATAAAACGAAGTAATTATAGTACCGTACGTAAATTGTAGACCAATACTTGCTGACGTAATTGTAGAATTAGAATCCGGGCCACTTAATTAGCGAATCCAGTATACCGTCAAAGTTAAGCAGCAAATTTTGGGCTCAATACAGACTTAACAAGTGTAATTTTATCAAGCTAAGTACGGAGGAAAGCGGAACATTAAATCCTCTCTCTTGTTATCCTTCTCTTTTTACGCGTATCACTTTTTCCATATTTTGACTGGTTACCATCAAACAATGTCGGTACAATACACACCACATGTTGCGTAATAACACTTATAACAACAGCAGCGACGCCAATAATGCGGTCTTTGTGGTGATAATTTCTACACTACTAGATATTACTGAATCGAGAAACGTGACATACTGCATTCAAAAACGTTCCGTACACTTAAAAAATGTGCGGATAAGTGACTCATTATCATACGATACCCGTGGACGACATTTTCGAAATAATGCTGCAATGATTTTTGTTGGGACAGTGATTACTTGCACAGTTTACCCGTCACACCGGTATGGATTTAATGTAGATTTTTCATTATCTTTAACGAAGGAATGCCTTTTCATTTTATGTAAATCGGCGACTTAGCATCTTTTTATCAAGACAACTTCCTTCTAAAAAAAATAAGTCTATTATTTTACCTTGTTCTCCTTGTACGATTTAAGTAAAACGTAACTGTTCAGGCAGGTTAGTGCGCGATAACTAAATGCTGGAATAGGCTAAAAGCAATATGAAGTTTATTTTAGCTACAATCTAACCAACGTTGAATTAACTGACTCAAAGGTCAAGTTCTCAATTCCGTTTCCGTGAAATCCACATATATTATGGAACGCTTTGAATGTTACGTTACGCGTTACGTTCTACGCAATCTACACACAATTGCCAGAATGTTTGTGACAGCGGCTAAAATGTACTGACCCATCAAAAAGCCATGCGATGTTTGGTAGCCAATATATTTTTCAGAGCCTACGTGAATGCGTTTAATGCGTACAAACAACAATCTCTACGACGGCGCAGTTACGTAAACAACTCGAGACAATTAAATTAAAAAAACTTCCGAAGTTACAACCACGTTAGGTATGCGCCTTGTTTCCAGCTGTATACCCTGCATTGCTTACTTTCAGATGCCCACAATGGTTAATTTGTGTTTTGATCAAGCTTCATTCCATCAAGATCCTCTATATAGATAGTCCTATTACAGTAGCTACTTTTGGTAGTTTGACTTTACGGGCATCGTTTATACATATGTATACATTTCCAGAATTCGTTTCGTTATTCGGTGCCCCTCATCCACTATATTCAGTAGCACGCTCTCTCTCTAAACAATGGCTTATTTTCTTAATAGAATGCAATCCTCAAGCACGATTCGATCGACGCCTGATAATATTTCCTGATAGATTTCTAAATTGTCCCTTACGTTCATGTTAGTTGCGATTTCGTTGTCGGCGGTCGCTGAGCGCTATTGAACGTCGCTGAATCTCAGTGTTTATTTCCAAGAACAATTAAAACTCGCAATTCTTTGTCAGCGTTTTGTTAATGTTATATATACCAATACAGGCGACAAACCCACGCATTCCTTGGCCCGTCTTCTCTATAACCCATTCTCACCACATTGCTAGACATTGGGCTTAAAATGACGTTAGACGCTAAACTCCCTAATTACCGGCATCACGATTGTCTAGTACTATACGCGAAAACAATTACCTGAATGCATGTGAAATAGAACAGTGTCTTATCACTAAAAATCAGTAATACGTTAGCCCCACGTTTTCGAACCTCCAAGTTTATTAGCTGACGATAATAACAACATAGGCCGCATATTGTTAACAAGTCCCACTTACAATTTTATAACTATTTGCTACCGGTATCGTTGTCCAGAGCAATTCATTCACACTACATAATTATATAGTACGACAGGACACCGCATTTAGCCAGTGGGCCGCCATTTAGATCAGTATTACATGTAGACAACGCACAATGAAATTCAAAGTGACGGTTAGGTAGCTCGTCCGTAGTTCTCAGACTTTTTGGCTCTCATCTCAGTTACCCCCCGAAGTGCGCTCGCTTAGTAATACTAGCAACGAATCATTATACCTATTACTATAAAAACGACTCAATTATTTTTTTTCATTTTTTCGTACGAAAATCGTAACATTGGACTATTGTTATTACTGCCATTTGTTATTACTGCTATTTGTTGTTACTGCTGAAGTATTATTAGTAATTCGCCTGCCTTATGGCAGTAAGAACGAATTTGACTGACCCAATAACAGCGTTCCGTGTGTTGGGTGCCGATTGATGAATGTCTGCCGTGAGAGCCCAGAAAAGGTTAACTGTAATAAAATAACTGTACTGTAATCTCTAGATAGGTCTGAAACGGCTTACTCTAGTCCAAGTGGCGTTGTACTGTGCCATTTAAAATTATTATGGCACATTGAACCGCTATCGCTGGCGATAGTAACTGGTTCCACTCGCCATTAGAGCTGCAACTGTTGTCTCTAACAGCACCTGATGATGTCGCCTACTATATTTGTGTTGGATCCGTTTCGTCACCGACGACAATCTAATCAAATGTCGGTATTTTCGTTTTCGTCGTTATTGTTTGACGCCATCGTGGACGTTGCCGTCGAAATGTCATCATTTTCATTGCCGAAAGAACAAGATCACCACGAAGTGGTCGGTTGGGGTAGGACAAAAGGCGAAAATGCGTGTTGGTCGGCATCAATACCGATAACACACAAATACGCGAAAACGGCCACGACGAAGACAGCGACCGCATATCAAACGAGCACAGCATAGAACAGATAGATAGTCAAGAGCGAGCAGGTGTGATCAACCAGTCTCACGTTATTCAGTTGATTTACATCAGCAAAAGCGACAGGTGGGTCGAATAGTTACGGGACACGACCCATATATAATGGAAAAACAAGCTGTAATCTGGCCGTGGCTGTATCTGCCAACACCCCTATTCATACAGGTGCCAGTGCTGCTGCTGTTGGGTTCACCTGCTAAACTGGCTCCACCGGCAACCGGCCATTGCACTCATAACGGTAAAGTAGCGGCATGGTATCACCAGCAAAATGACCCGCTGTTAAAATAGTTGTATGACTCGTTTAGTTTGTCTGCGGTTTAAAGATCCAGTGAGCGATTAAGCGCATTAGCATAGAACGCTAGAAAGCTATTAGTGTTTGCAATATTGAGTGTTTTGTTCGGGCAGTGATGTTACGCTATCATCTTCATCATCATCGCCCATCGTTTCCATCATCTTCTGCTTAACTCCATTTACGATAATTGGCAGTGACCGTTCATCATTTACTGTGGATAGATACCGACGGTAATGGCACCACGAACGCTTTTTGCTTCCCATAGGAGCTGCTCTGGCTAAAAAAAGAACCTCGAAAACGAAGGCAATACAGGAAAAGATAAGACAGTAAAACAGCAACAAACCGTCCAACCAGCGGCAGCTGCAACACCGGCAGCGACAAAGTGGCGAAAGTAAAACGCTTTCTTTGCTTGTTGTCGCAGGAAGTGCAGCGCCTGTACTACAAGTGAAATAACACCAACGGCATTAAAACAGGGCGACCCAAAGAAAAAACGGTGAATTCAGATGCGACGAGAGAAGTTTGGCCTGGCAGAAGGCAGTATAGGTAAGAACCTATTTCTACCGCAGTAGCGTTCATCGTCGTCGTTATCGCAGCCGCCGCCGTCGGTACGCGTAAAGCCACTCACCGCTTGTCTGTTCTGCTCGCATGTTTCTGTTAGCTTCACAATAACTACGAGGCTGCCAGTTTTAGTTTTGACTAGAAACGTTTGACTGTATCGACGTTGTAAAAGGGACCCTCTCCTCCCGCTAATCCTTTATCGCTTAGACGCTACAAACGCAATGCCGCGATTGTTTATTGCTATTGTCCAAAAGCAAAAAAAGGAGAAAAGGGTTAGCTTTTGTTAATGGCCGTAACAATTAGCAAAATTAGATTGCAGCACAATTGTTAGATGCAAAGCTGAAGAACTCAATATTCGCACTGGCTGGTACGTGGTTGAAAAAAGCAAATGCGGCATCGAAAGTGAATCTATCAGCGATAAGCTAAGATTATATCAACACGGTTTAACATTTGTTTATTATTCTAAACGAACAAAAACGTTTTTCTTGAATGCTTCCGACTGTAAAAAACTAGTTAGTATACTTATCATCATTCATTAATATGACGTAACAGGTACAAAAAATATCGTCATTGGCGATTAACAAATCTTTTTGTCGTCGGCTGAATCACGACGACAGCGTGACGTCCACAGCAATGACAACGTTCAAGTACAAAACTGTACATAGAAGAAATAGTGTCACAGCAAAAATCGACAACAAATATGGAAGACCAAATTAAATGAAAAAATGTCTTCATTACTTGCTTTAGCATACCAACCTCATTCCGGCATTGACAACGACAGCATCAGCACAGCCGAACGCTGTTACTGCTGCGCGATCGGAAAAACACCCTGATTCCCTCCGCTAACAGCATGATTGAGTTGGCCGTCCCGCGCATAGAAACAGGAAAATAAACTAGAACAATACCAAAAAACAAAAACTAAAACTGTTTTAGAAAAATCGAACCGTTGTTGATATGGCTATAGACTAAAACAATCCATTGGCCCCTAACGACGTTATTGTATAATAGTTAATCATTTCTCTGCTTCTTCCTAGTCAAGGTAAATCACTACAGACTCCTTGAAAGTCTCCAATCGGTTCCGACACCCTAAAGCAGAAGGCAGCGGGAAATTCAGACATATAGTGATGCTGTTACGTAGTGGCAAGGGCTAAATGCAACGAGGGCAATATGACACTCGAACGTCAGTCAACAACACTGCAACACCAAGCAACAGGTTGACGCAATGAAATTGCTACAAAATTAGCAGCAATAACGAGATCGAACACTGACCAACGAATCAAGCATTGATCATTAACGGACATCACCTAGAAATGGCGCCTGCGAACACAGTTATAGGCGGCTGCCATAGGCAGCTTAACGCGCGACAGGCTGGAGCTTTTGTTCGGCTCTGTGGGCTGCTGTTGTTGCTGAGGGCCCCTCCATGTCTGTTCCTACTCACGTTGGTAAAATTTTACCTGTTGTCGCTTCGACGGTGACGAACAGTCAATCACCAAACCAGTCTTTATATCTAAGCATTAGCCGGAGTCGTATGAAGACATAGCTGTCGGACGGTGTCCGTGGCCGTAGCTCGAATTCTCCTTCCTCGTGTATTTTTAACGGAGTTACACCAGCATGACGGAGGCATCGGTTGTGTCGTTCCTATTCAGCATTATACGCGGTGAACGAAGTTGAGGTTCGGCCACCTCAACTTCGTTCACCGAAGTGGCAAGGCGACGTTGGCTTCATTAGTCGGGTTCGGTTCGGTGTCGGCCAAGCGCCTTTTACAAAGCAACCTTGCTACCGTTATTATCGCGAGATAGCGTCACCAGCAGCCCTTATTCGGCTTGCCGTTGACTGAGTGACTTGTTCAATCAGTGTATGGTTGCTTCGGACTTCGGCTCTATCTAGACGATAGTTAAGTGCTTTTGCACTTCGGCACTTTAGGAGCCTTCATCCATCAGCAGCACATAACAGCGATGGCGGTTGTCCCTACTGTTGCCTATGTAAGTATGGTTGCACTACTATTGCTGCTAAATCCATAATACTTCCACACATAAATATACACATGTCTTCTTGTTCTACGCGAGGCCTGCGATGTGTCATTGGCACAGTGGTAGTTCCATTTGTGACTCGTCCATCGTGCTGATAACGACAATCTCGCGTTACTGAAAAAAGAAGAAAGGGCCTATTTGCCTATCAATTCATTCGGCATTTAGCTAGCTGTACATTCTTCACTGGGTCTGTCCATCCAACTTCCTGTTGTTCATTGACATCTATCGGTAAAAAACGGAAGCTGTTGCATATTCAGCGCTAAGCGAACTATCTAACGAATTTTACTTTTGATGTATTCTTACAACTGAGGAAAGGTTGACGCTACGTAGCCGTATTGCCGCCTTTTTTGCAATACAAATAAAGATTACACATTGCTATTTATTTTTACGTGCAATCAGCAACTGTGACAAACGGTCACAGTTGCTCGTAACTGAAGGATACTAAGGCCAATTCGAATAATGCGCTGCCCACATACTAAATAATATTATTGTTACCAGATTCGTACGTAAACAAATGAAGCCTAGTCAGGCGATACCATTACTGCAATATTACAATCGAATCAACAAGTAGCTTATTTAGACAAATAGAAACAGACATGCGTTGAGCAATTCGGCTCATTTCAGTGGTTACAACATTTCGTTAGCAGAGAGAAAATTGATTATTGAATACGTTACTATCGACTGAGAAGTGTTTCGTTGGATGACCTGGTTACGTTAGGCCAATTGGTGCGTCCATCACACATGAAGTGCCAAGCTTACTTTTCGCATGAAAAGCATGCTATTACTGTATCATCTGTCTTTTTTTTCGGAAATCGCACACAGCGACCATCGATACATCCATCCATCGCAAAGATGGACGAATACCGAAATGTGCGACAAAACCATAGCGACATCTAGTGTCAACGTTGCTAACAGCAACAGACTAAGACTGCAACGGTGGTTTCAGTGTAATCGACGCATCATCCCATTTCCGGATCGGGTCAGTTGTGTTCAGCCAGTCAGGTTCAGTGGGTTGCTCGGCGGGTCGGGTAATCGCTCCCTGCTGATATCTTTCACGAATAGATACGGGCTTGTGACGTCGGCTACTATGTTTTCTATGCAGAGATGCTGTATAAGGATGTCACGTAAATAACATAGCAGTGTAAGCAGTAATAGGACAAAGCCATAGAGAGACACTGTCTAAACTATGGAAAGACCGTGCGGATAAACCGAATCGAACGCTGAGCGTCACGTCACTTCGACTCCATTAGCGTTAGCCGGGACATCAAGAAAGGTCGATTCGAACGACGTCGCTGACAAAGAAAACGGTCGGACAAAGCAGCGAGAAAACGACAAACCAAGCTGCGTCTTCAGCGTTTTGTGCCTGTTTCCCAGCATCAACAGCCACAGCTGTGGTATTTGTTAGCCGGTGTTCTGCCTAGAACTGATCCTCACTTTTTTTCGAAACGACCACAAAGACGATTCTTAGTTCGTTTGGTCTTACCCATCCATACGCGGGAGCAATATTCACTGCAGCACGAATATACGGTGTCACTCGTAGCAGCCACATTCTAACAGATATATAACAAAGCCTATAATATATATATAGTCGAAGATGTGTTGACTGTTTTTCTAGCTGAATAGCCTTAGGATCGCGTATTATTAATATGAGTCGCATTGAAAGATGTTGAGATTTGGCTGTAGAAGACGCGCAAAATTGTTGCATCGCCCTTATTTAGACTTACGATTGAACATTTTGAAGACAAGTACAATTTTGGGAGAGAACCTTTTTACAATAGAGGCACAAACGTTACCTAAGCTTATAGAAGTGTTTGCGGTTCATGTCCAGCATGCGCTTTCCGAAGAGACGGCTTGAAAATGGTTCTGTTACTAAATTCTGTTAGTGCTGATGTACAAGACGTTCCTTGTAGGGGTCACCCAATGACGGAATAAGTCGATGAAAGTTTAAAAGTTCAGCAATACCGACATGTGAATAGGTATTATATCGGTAGTAAGTGGAACATTTACCACCTAATAGATTTAAATATTCAAAGCAGAAGGTTAGCTGATGCTTGGGTGCCACGCGAATTGACGCAATAAATTTGATCGTATTTCCATCTGCGAAACTCCACAAACGAGCAACGAGAGCAGTTGATTATGGGCCGTGAAGAGTGATTATTATTATATTCGATAAGTGATCTTACAGCTCAGACGGAATTCAAAGAAGGTAATACTATGTGTTTGGTAGGATTTAAATAAAATCGTGCATTATGAATCGTTGCTGCCTGATAAAACGACTAATTCAGATGTTTACTGCCAATAATTAACAAGATTAATACCTACATGTTCACTAATCTACTTCATATTTTTAGCTGTAGTTCTCTATAATTTGGCTTTTGTTCCCAATTCATTGAAAAGCTGCAAACAATCCGAAAAAAGGAAAGCAAACGATCAGGATAGTGCTAAAGGATAATTGAGCCCATGTTCATGCGAGGGCGCCACGATGTTCAGGTACAAGAACACCTGAAGATGTTTTCGGCACAGTTTAATAGTTAATTTACGTTCACTGTCTCTAGTGCACTCAACCAAGACAAAAATATCTTAATTCCTCAGTAGCCCATGGAAATTTTTTTCTCAGCTGATTATCTGAACATGGTACCATGGAGAATTAATTAACCTTATCTCTTATTTTTTTTCGAGTGACAGCTTTTCACTGTGTGAATGCCATTCACAAGGCGATTATGGTTGAGAAAACTATCATAACGAAATACGTCTGCTTTCTTTGTTTCTGCCTATTAAAGGAACGTATTATTCTAAACCAATTTAATCTGCTAGCACCGTTTTAGTAAAGTCCGTTCAATGTATGCGTGAGCAGCTGACTCTAAGCGCACACCATTTACGTCTTATCCATTCGAGACTTCGAAGGGACGTTCCTCTTGACGGGACCTAGTAAGTTATTTTGCGGTTTTTATGTGTTAGGTGAATGTCACAAAATCGCGTAAATACAATTTTCAAATAAATATTGTTCTACAGCGAATAGACCAGGATCTTACAGAATTTTATATAATAAGGTTTAGTCGTTTGTCAATTTATTGTTGGGCGAATATCGAGCTACTACGATGCCGTCGAGCTTTGCAGGGTAAAATTATGTAGCGTGA